CTGATCCATTTATGATTCATACAGGCACTTGTTTATTTTATAAACAGCCATGATAGCCAAATCATAAAGCAAAAAATCTGAACTAGAAGATATAAACACCACTGCAAGAATGACTGTGATAAATGTGGAAAATTAAAAATCATTAAATGATTTTGCAACACTGAATGCAAACATGAAATCTGCTATCTTATATCTAAGTGAAGGAAATCTATCCCTCAGCAAGTCCTCAACGTCAAGCATTCAGGCATCTAATAACTGAGTCAGATTTCCCTCTATACCTCTAGTGACTTATAAGGAAAACTGAGAACACATACTGATTCAGCTTGGTAAGAGAGTACTTTGAAAAGGCTTTTCTCCACATCAGTTTGCACTTGAACATCTGCTTCACCATCACTCCCTTTCCGTAACTTCGCATACAGCTTTTCTATACTCTGGAAAACAAAGTGCAGGCATCACCCATGGAACTTACAAATACGGGTGTATGTAAGAAATCAAAATTGGGAAAGAACTTACACTCATGGCATTCTCTAGAAATCCATCTGCAAGACCAGCTTTTCCAATATCTATCCATCCTTTCCCAGTTTTCATAGACATCTGAAGGAGGAAATGGTAAGTCTTTTGTGAAAAAGCAGTCACTTTCAAGAAAGGCAATGTAAGCTCTCATCTCGTTGTCACACATACAGGACAAAGGTATTTCATCTCTGCAATTTCTAACCAGCAACTCTCACTTCTGAATGAACACTCAGATACAGCATAAGCCTTACAGTGGCCTGCTAGACAATATTATAAGATACTGAAATAAGTATGTCCTGCTCATATCATATTTTACACTATGAGAAGATGTGATGCTAACCACACTGTCCAGACATTCCTAGGTCAAATGGCTCAGCAAGAGCCATTATAGTGGTAGTGTAGTATAATATAGTAAGATATAGGTCCCACTTCAGCATGTACTTTGTTTTCTTAAAAGGGAAAAAATGGGATCATCTTTCCTTAAGTGATGAGAAGAGAGTCAGCAATATTCCTGCCAAAACACCAACTATCTTTCCAGATCTAGATGTATATTTCACTCCCATTCCAAAGTAAATGTAATAAGATTTGAAGACTTCCCTGGGGGATCAACTATATTTCATTACTCACCCATAATTAGTCTTACCAAAATCTGTCTTCTAATGGTTCCCTCCGGAGGATCGCTGCCTTCACAAAGGCAAATCAGCCTGCAGGCAACAAACCGCACTGCAAGGAAACAGTGCAGGCATTCAAAAGTTGCCTTTTCTCTAATTCTTCATTTTTTTTTACAGAAAGTCAAGCCCTGCCATATCTGAAAGACTATCTGGCATTTTAAATCACAAGACAGAAAAATCTGAAACTTCAAGAGTCAAAGCAATCTGAATTTTAGCCAAGATGTTTAAAATTGCTTTCCAGACAGTAAGAAAAAAAAATATTCTCATTAAAATGCCTACTAAATAATTTGGAGAGAGTTTAAGTTAAATACATGGTATTCAAATATTTAATTACATTGCAGGTGCTTACAGTAACAATTCTTGAAAGCCTCAAAATAGCCTTCAGCAAAATAAGGAAATTAAGTTTAATATAATCTTTACAGTTTCAAAGTAAAAAGCAAAAATATTTTCAGGCCTTCCTTAGACATCAGGGATGGAAAAGACACTATTTAATGTACTTTAAACACCCTCTTCGTGGCCCTTCAGCAGTGATCTGAGAACATCACACTCTACTTTGTGTCAATTTACCCTTTTCCCTTTACCTGGTATAATTCATATGATGCAGATTATACGTAATTTTGACTATAATCCCTCAGGACAAGAATGTAGGCCTGACACTGCAATCCCACGAAACCACAGAAAGAACAAACTAAGGGAAAAGACCAAAAGCTCATTTCTGCTTTCCCCCAGCCCTGCCCCTGGCCCAAGAGAACCTACCAGCTGTGCACCTGGCTAAAGCAGGTCAATAAGAAGAGGACTTAGAATGTTTCTGTATGTAAACATGGATGAGATTGTTTTTTTAATGTAACTATCTCACTTGATATAAATTAAGTGACCAACAGTCTAAAATTTATCTGTGTTATTTCCATACATTTTTAGATTTGAACCACAGTCTCAGAAGGCAAATTACAGCTTCCTTTGGTCTCATCACGTCCTTACTGGTGCTCTGGCATGGAAAGGAGAGTGATAAGAATGCCTACACTGATTCTGTGTCACAAGAAGATAAGTATTGCATTAGGATGCTTCTTCTTGAACTGTTTGTATAAAAGCCCACTGGTACATTTTTCTCTTTCTAGACCATGTCAACAAAGGCTCAAACAAATCTACAGCACTACTTATGTGCCTGGCAGCAGAGAGTGTTTAGTTTCCATGCTACAGCACACAGAACACCTCTAGGAAGGTACAGAACATACATACATTTGGCTCTTTGCTCATCATTGATAACAGCAGCCGTGTGTTTGGTCACAGTCCAGTTCCACAAGCTGACTGCACTCTCTTCAACCTGAAGAGGAGAATTCCACTCAATTAAATTTTGTCCTGGATGTGGATCCAATTGAAATTTACTACTGAAAAAGAAGCATCTTTCATGTGTTTCACAGGAATGGCCTCTCCAAGTGTTTGTGCAACTTCCGTTTACACCAGAGTGAAAGGTGTGAGCTTTCCATAAAACTGTCACAGGATCCCACAGGACATGCTGGACAGTGACCTGAAAACAGGCATGCTGAATGGATGTAGCATTTCTTCACCTAAAAAAATCTGAAGGGGTTGGAAAAGAACTCTAAGAATTCTTATCACATTTGAGAATGATCTGTAGTAAGGCTTCACCTCTTTTGCACATCAAAAAGAACACTAAGTAGCTTAATTACTTTAAATACCTACACTGGGAAAATTTGGATATTAGCAAACAAAGAACAAAGGTTACTGAGTATATACTCCTGTTCAAAAGATACAACACTACATAAAAGCAATAAGCTGATTTAGCAACCCACCCTGAGGGGCTGCATTTTCCATCACTTTATTCTACTTTTCATGACAGATCTTGCCTATCTAGGAGAGAGTTCATAGCCCCTCTTATTGAAGTGGCCAGATTACAAATGAATGATTTCTCCTTTCTTCAAAAATAATTTACCCCAACTGACTCAGGAAGAACTGAAGGATACCACTTTTATGCCCTTGTATTTCTTTCCACACTGTACTTATTGACACTTTCTGTTACAACACTTGCTAATTTATCTTGCTCCTTGTTGCAAATTTAGGACTTCCAACACCAGTGTTCCTTAGCTGATAATTGCTACTTATTAAATGTCTCTTGAAAATATAATTTTAGAGGAAGAAGCTGGACTATGTCTCAGCTGGTCTTCTTCCTTATTTCAGATTCATATATTACCAGATTTCTCTTTGAAAAGGGACTTTTAAAGTAGATGGTTACTTCTTTCTAAGTACTTCTCTAGGAGAAATAAACAGAAGGAAAAAGCAAACATTATGAACAACCATCTGATACACTTTTACAAGGACTGAAAATTAGTACCTCAAATATAATATTGTGTACTGGAATGTTGTTTACCAGGCAGTTAAAATTACATGCTTGCTTGTTTTCTTCTTCCTTGGGTTATCTGCTGTCACTATGGGAATCCACAGACAAGGTGAGAAGGGTCTCTCCTCTGATCCAGTACCAAACACTTAATGCATCAGTGCTCTCTGCTTCCATTTTGCCAAATTTTACCAAATTACAACTAGATACTACTAGTAGTTTGAAATAATATATACCTTAACATCACAAGTAACCAGTAATTTTTCCCATTATTATGGTAGAATGGTTTGGATTGGAAGTGACCTTAAAGACAAGCCAGTTCCAACACCTTTCACCAGACCAGGTTGCTCCAAGCCCTGTCCAACCTGGCCTTGGACACTTCCAGGGATGGGGCAGCCACAGCTGCTCCGGACAGCCTGTTGCCAAGGCCTTCCCACCCTCACAGTATATTACTAATATCTAATCTAAGTCAACCTACTTTCAATGTAAAGCCATTTCCCCTTTTCCTGTTACTTCAAGCCCTTGGCCAAAGTCCTCCTCCAGCTCTCTTGGAACCCCTTTAGGCACTAAAGGTGCTGTAAGTTCTCCCCAGAGCCTTCTCTCCTGGCTGAACTCCATCTGCCTTTCCCAGGAGAGGTCCTCCAGCCCTTCAATCACCTTCATTACTTCCTCCAGCAGGTCCACATCCTTCTGATGTTGGTGACCCCAGACCTGAACACAGTATCCAGGTGGGGTCTCATGAGAGCAGAGTTAATGACACACATATTTTTACATTCAAGATCATTTCACATTGACTTTTAAAAATAACATTTCCCACTTTATTTTGGACTTTTACGCTATTGGGGCAAATGACGAAGAAGCGAACTCTTTTCTTTACATTTCAGTAGTGTTACACTTTTAGCCCCACCACCATGGGTGGGAAGCAGAAGCAGCAGCAGCAGCTGGTGTTTAGGGAGCTGCAGCACCAACCTGGGCCAGGGCTGTGGGGCGCGAAGCACATGCACGCCCCGTTTCTTCAGACGGGCTGGGAGCGGGGGACTCTCCCTCCGCCACCTTCCCATCCCCTTCAGAGATGCTCTCCGCCGCCTGGAACAGCTCCTCCGCGAGGGCAGCAATGCGGGACGGCGCCTCTTCCCTCAGCAGCTCCTGCACCAGCGCTGTAAGACAGGAGAACAGCGGGGCATGACACGCAGCCCAACACCAGCCGCCAGGGGCGGCGCTTATCGGGAAGGGAGAGCCCAGGACCCGCAGCACCTTCCGCGGCCACCGCGGGCGGGCCCGCCATGGCCCCTCAGCGGGAGCCCGGCACTGCGCCTGCGCGCCCCAGCCCAGCGCTCCCGGCGGGCCCTCGAGCCGCCGATTGGCTGCCCGGCGGCTCCGCCCCGCCCCCGCCCGAGTGACAGCCGGCGCGGCCAATCGCGCGGGGCGGGGCGTGGCGTCGCGCGCGGCGGTTCCGGGAGGGTTCCGGCGGCGGGGCCGGCGGGGCGGGCGCCATGTCGGGGCTGCTGCACACCACGCTCAGCGGGCTCAACAGCGACTCGTACTGCGAGATCAGCCAGTACCGGGACCAGCACTTCCGGGTGCGCCCGGCGCCGCGGGTGGCGGGGCCCGGCCCGGCCCGGCCGGGGCGGGGAGGGCTGAGGCCGGGGCAAGGCCGTGCGAGAAACCGGGCAGCGGGAGGGCACGGGGCGGTAGGAGCGGGACGGCGAGCGCGCTGAGCCCGCGGCGTGCGCCTCTGTGCCCGCAGGGTAGCAGGCAGCTGCAGGAGAAATCCCTGAAGATTTCCTCCACGCTGTATGTCGGCAATCTCTCCTTCTACACCACCGAGGAGCAGATCCAGGAGCTGTTCTCCAAGTGCGGAGATGTCAAGAGAATTGTCATGGGTCTGGACAAGATCAAGAAAACTCCCTGTGGCTTCTGCTTTGTAGAGTATCCTTTCTGGTTCCCTTTTGTCAGTAGGGATGTGGTTGGCACCTGTAGTTCCTCTGCACTGCAAGTGTATCTGTACTGCTGCTGGAAAGGTGATAGCCAAGTGCTTCCTACCAGGCACATCCCGTCCATCCTTGCACCTTCCTCACTGCGCCCTGAGGCCGATTGTGTAGTGGTGCTGTACGTGACAAGTGCCACCAGAGCTGTAGTTTCTGGAGGCGGCAGAGAGCCCCTTTAACTCATTCATTTCTTTAATGGTTTTAGGGCCAGAATGAGATCTGTTACAGTCATCAGTCTGATGTCTTCCATGTCCAGAGCACATGTTTCCTTTCTTATCTCAACTTTACACCTGAAGGAAGTAGCTGGATAAGCCATGGGGGCGTTTTCACACAAAGGGTACATGCTTATACAGGTTGTGCCAGGAGCTGTCTGTGCAGAGCTCTCCTGTGAAGCCTGCTCCTTTTGTTCTATTTCAGTCGAGCTTTACATAGTACAAAAAGACATATTACTGATTTCTTGCCCTTAGCAAGGCTTTAATGTCTTGTTTTGTTGTCTTGTCTGTGCAGGTCCTAACATTAAAGTACAGAATCCTTTCTGAGCCTTAGCTGGTCTTAGCTTAGATTTACATGAGTGCAGTGTTTGATCCTGTAGAGAAGAGCGGGAAGAGTAGAAAAGGCTGGAAGGCAGTGGGGGGGAGTTCTGTTTCGCAAATACAATACTTACCTGTTTTTTTTCCCTGTACCCAACAAAAAGCACACTTAGTTGTCCTTACAGAGTGCCTCAGATACTACACGAGAGCAGATGCTGAGCACGCCATGAGGTTTATCAACGGCACACGGCTGGATGACCGCATCATCCGCACGGACTGGGATGCAGGGTTTAAGGAGGGGCGGCAGTATGGGAGAGGAAAGACTGGAGGACAGGTAAAGGCAATGCCAGTTCATCCCTGAATTTGATCCTCTATGACTCCATGTACTTACTTGCTGGTTTTGTCCCAGGGAGAACAATGTGCACACTGTAAAGACCTGATAATGAAGTTTACTCACTCCCAGGTTGTTTCAGTAATTGACACCTGGTGTTAAAGGCTGGAAATAGAACTTAAGGTCACTTCTGTCTAGGACTCCAAAATTCCTGCAATGCAAGCAGAATGTTTCCTAATCCAAGGTAGTACTTTTGAAATGATCCAGAATTTGAGTAGAGGGAAGCAGTGTGGCTGCCAGGCCAATCTCATAACACAGCAGTTTCCCCAAGGGCAAAGATGAGGTTTAGATGAGATAAAATGTTCTGAAGGCCAAGCCTGGCAGTTCAAAAGGGTGTACTGAAAAGCTGAACAAAAATATTTTGGGGTCTTCTTTGCTTCTTACCTGAAAAATTCTCAACAATCAGATATATCCTTTTGGTCATTTTCACCACCATTACCACATTTCTGGTGGATTAGTTGAAGAGATCTCAGACAAGTTGAAGTGCTTCTAATCTGAACTTCAGTTCCCCACCAACTGAACAAGGAGGGGACGATGATTCTGAAGCCTAGTAGGGGACAGGCAGTGCTGGCTATTAATACATGTGTTGTTGCTGTGCCCCAGGTGCGAGATGAATACCGGACAGACTACGATGTGGGAAGAGGTGGCTTTGGCAAGATCATTCAGATGCAGAAGGCAAATCACCAGCCTGCAATCTATTAATTGCGTCGTGATTCCTAGCTCAAAGAGGGCTCTGTCCTTCCAGAGCTAGCCCTGTTCTCACATTTGGGATGAGGGTATGGAGTGAAATCCAAGTTCCAGCAAAAGGTGACTCTCCTTAGACTGCAGATATACATGTGTTCATTCTCCCTTCTTTCTGAGCTAGAGAGGATGTTCTGTGCTGATACAGGGCAACAAGGGACAAATGGACAGCTCTGTAGGATTTTGGGCAAGAAGAAATGTAACATGTCACACACACCTTATGCTATGACATACTCTTCATGTTGCACTTAAGCAGGTGGCTTCCTCCAAGCTCCAGCTGCAACTGTGGTTGCTTTCAAATGGAACTTTTTTTAAAAGCTTACCACCATTGGAGCCCTCCAGGTGCCTGGGCACCTAGTGAGGATGCACAAGAGATTCACGTTTCTAATTTAAAACCTTACCTGCTTAATAAACAGTATCACTGTTTGAATGAGAGAGAAGTGGACAAGGTCTTATGCTCTTGGAGGTGCTTGTCTGCACATCTAGCCCTTGGGTTGGTCAGGGCCTGCAGAACATTTCTCTTTGTGATGCCCCCAGTGCTGCCTGGCTTTTCAGATCCTCACTGTTCGGTGTGATTTTGTCAAAAGTTTCTGTTATTTTTTTTTAAATAAACAGTTGTATTGGGTCTGACTGAGATTGGGTCTGAAGGTAATTTTACCCCTAGCAGCCCTCATAGAGCTGTGTTTTGTATTGGTAGCTCGGAAGGTATTGATAAAACACCAGTGTTTTGGCTGTTGTTGAACAATGTTCCCACAGCGTCAAGGCTGTCTCTAAAATTCCCACCTCACCAGCAGGCTGGAGTGGGGGCAAGATCTTGGGATATTCCAGTCGATATGGCATCTGCTCAGCATCAATAGCTAAGAGAAGGGACATGGGGGGCATTCCTTATTCAAACATCTTTCTTCTGGAGCAGCTGCTCTGTGTACTGAAGCTATGCTTCCCAGGAGGTGGCCGGACATCTCCTGTTGGTTGAAAGCAGAGAATAAATATTTAGTTTTTCTTTGCTCCCACACGCAGCCTTGCTTTTGCTTTATTAAACTGTCTTTATCTTGGCCCATAAATTCCGTTCCCATCTTACTTTCTCCCTGCCCTCCTCCCACTGAGCAGGGATGTGAGAGAGCAGCTTGGTGGGTACCTGGTGTCCAGGCAGGGTCAGCCCACCACAGTTTGGTGCCCAGCATGGGGCCTGAGGCAATGGCTGTTCTGTGCTAAGTGTGCTTTAGCCATAGTAGTTACTAACAGGCAGCTCCTGTTGGGTCACGGTGTTTGTTGGCTGCACTTCTTACCTCTTTACTTTGCTGGGCTTTGGGAACATGTTAGTACAAACCATGGCTCTGTGCTTTGCCCTGGCACAGATGGCCTTGCTCTGCTGGGGGAGCTGCCTTGTGGAGAGGATCCCATTTCCCACTCCCACCTGGTGTGGGTGGCTTTATTGTTCCTGCTCAGCCTTACATGAGATGTTTAATACTAGTAATTAACACAGTTGATGTATCATGGGGTCTGTGTATTCTGATGTCATCCTAATGTAAGAGAAGACAATTTTTTGGGTGAGTCAATACTGAAATGTGCCCTGAGGTGGCTGGTCCGTGGGTGGCAGGATTTGGGCAAGTGCCTGGGCTAGTTATCACCTCCCATAGCCTGGGACTACACCTGAACAAGCAAGTAACCCTGGCAAACTGACATGCCAAAGGTGCCTACCCCAGTGAAAACCAGCAGGTTCTGGCACTGTACTGGGGCTTGGCATGTGCCTGCAAAGCCACAGTTCAGGGCTGCCAGAGGGCTGGGTTTAACTCGGGGACCCCAGCCACCTCTGAGAGTAACTTGATTGAGACTGGGGACAAACTCCATCTGAGGTGATAGTAGAGATAGGGGCCCAAACAAGAACAACTACGGTTGCCCCAGTTGTGGAAAAAACCCAGTGGACAATGGGTCTGTATCACCAGTTATTAGGGGAGGAGGGAGAAGAAGGGTTCCATCAAGAAGCTGGTCCTTGAGAAAATGCAGGAAGGAGTGAGGGAATTCAGACAAGAAATAGAAACCACCCAGTCTAACCTCATCAGAACTTTTGAGATGTGCAAAAATTATCGCCACCAGGCATATGGAATCCTTACTGGCTGTTCTGATGCTGGCATAACGGGGTCCAAAGTCATCAGGAAGATAGGGAAGCCCAACAGCTATTCAGCTCTTGGGAACAAAATAAGGGATGTCACCATGTGCCTATGGATGTAATCAAGATACCAACTATGCCTCCACCAGCTAACAAGGAGACCCTAGCTCTCCTAGGCTTTGGGGAAAGTGCACGTTCCAGGTTAATGTTAGCTTGTGGACCCTCTCCATGGAGTAACCTAGACGAATCACAGAGTGGGTTGGGTTGGAAGGGACCTTAAAGACCAGCTAGTTCTAAGCACGTTGCCATGGGTAGGGACACCCCTGAGGAGGAAAGTGGCACAAGTGGCTTGGTGGGCACCTGGTATCCAGCCATGGTCAACCCGCTCCAACAGCAAGTCCCGCAGCAGTTGGAGTTTGTGTGTCAGGATCACTTTATGACGGAAACTGGGGAGGCAGGGGAACTCATCTGTTGGTGTCTTAAAGTTGCTGTCACTTGTAAACATGGAGATGGACACTAGGAGGGTGCACAAGTCTCACCATAGTTCTCTGCACTTCTGTCTTGCTGGCTTTTCCTCTCCTGCTGTGCAATAGCTCATGGCTGATGTCAAAAACAAGTTGCTTATGCTCCGTATCAGACCAGTCCTCATGTTTCATATCAGCAGTTCTAGAAAATTCAGGAGAATTTTCCCTGTCCTGTCACCTGTCCCACAATTGGAGTAGCTTATAAAACATAGCAAGTGCTCAGTGGTCACATCAGAGAGGAATGGGCCAAGAACTCCCTCCCTGTGTTTCTTTTAATTTTAAGATGAGCACGGCCAGCACTCTCTAGCCTGTTCTTATGTCCGAACAAGAGACAAGAAGAGATGTAAACCCTTTCTGATCTGTCCCCAAGAACCTCTCAGCTAGGGCAAGTAACTCCGTTGAACAAGTTAAATTCTGTCTGTAAATTTGGTTTGTATTATGTAAACAATAGCAGCTGCTGCCTGCCCAGTAACGTGTCTTGATTTTTCATGCATTATCTTGTCCAGGATGATAGAAACTGTTGCACACCTACGTGCAGACCAGGCAGTTAAATTAGTTTACCACTCACATTACCCCAAAGTCTTGATAACTGTGCTGGTAGGGGTGTTACATTTAGTTTGTCAAAATGTCTCCTACCTGTTTGTTTTGCAAATCAGGTTGCTGTGCCTGTACAACTGCCACAGGTCTTGAAGGAACTGCATGTTTATTCTTCAGCGGGTTTAAAAAATGTCAGCATTGACCAGCCTGTGATGCAGGCTGCCCCTGAGATGCAGTGAAATGGAACAGGACATTGACTTAAAAATGGAAAAATAAGAGCAGTCATCTGTCCAGCCTTGCAAAACACCAACAGTGTGAGGTCCTGTGTAGAGAATACAAATTAGAATAATTGCTTGGATAAACATAGCAGGAAAATGGGAAAGCTTAAGGAGGACAGGAGGATGTAACAGCCTTAAAACTGTGATTAGCAAAGAAATCTCTTGTGTATGAGGCTGGGAAGCCAGCACACCTGTGCAGCCTTTGGCCATCCTGATGGTGGCAGAGAAGCAGTAGTTCATCAGGAAGTGACCACACTGATGGAAAACTACCCATCTGCACCATAAACGTGCCACTTGCACTGCCTGTGCTGCTTCTGCCATCTCCTCTCTGCACCACTCACTCACAGGCTCACTTCCACCATAGTGGGGTGTGGGTGCCATTGGGGTACAACTGTCTCAGAGAAGCTCCAGGGTGACATCCTGCTGGGTGCAGGCATCATCACAGCATGTTGTCAGCTCCAGGACAGACTGAGAGGAGTCACCCTTTGGCTAGTTGCAGTGTGGACAAGAGCAGGCCCAGGGCACCAGCTGCAGCCCTGGGAAGGGGAGTAAGCGAAGAGCAACCATGTAGCAGCAACTCATCATGCCAAACCTGCAAAGGCAAAGCGAGGCGAGCATTAAGCCTGTGTGTTTAGAGAGCTGACCACCTGCTGCAGCTCAAGGCAAGAGGATTATTGGATGCACACAGGCTCCTCACAGCTACTGGGTCATGTGAGCTTAAGCTCACCACAGAGAACAGAAGAGTTGGGGCCTGCCTAGAGCCAGGTGAGTAAGGAGTGGAAAGAATCTCACGCATCACCAGCTTTGATTTCCTGGAGCCCTTCTAGACTGTGAGGGCTTACAGCACAACGCAGTGCTGCTGCAGAAATATCAGGAGCTGATACCAGTTTACTCTGTTCCACCAATTACTCCATCTGTCTGGAGTCAATTCCCTAGATTCCAGTACTCAGGTCCTGCTGATGGATTCATCACACTCAGCAGTCACTGCAGCTCCACTCCACCGGTAGGGAAGGGGATCTGACAGTGCTCAGATTTACAGGGAAGAAGACGGCACATTAACTCCTCACACTGAAGCATTTGGTGTCACAGAGCAGACTTGCCAGCCTATTTTAATTCCCAAGCGGATCAAAATTTAATCTGCGACTACATCTCCGCCTGCCAGGGCCTGTTCTGGCCAGGGAATAGTGCAGGGGCAGACTCTGCAGCTGCAGCTCTCCCTCCAGAGGCTCAGCAGCACAGCCCCCCATCTCCATCCTCCCCCCAGCCTGCATGGCCACACTCATAGCCTCGTGGCAGCCCCCCTGGAGGTGGCAAGCATCTGGTGTCCAGAGAGCTGCTTTGAAGGGTCCCCCAAAACCAGCTGGATATGAAGTTATAAATGCCATGGGATGTGGTGGAACCAGATGGGGAGGGAGGCTGGCAGTCACCCACTCTCTGCACCCCCAACACCCTAACCCACCAGCAGTGCATCCCTGGCATGACCCCAGAGTATGTTGTCACCAGCCTGTGGCCACCTGCCTCCTCAGTATGCCTTGGGCTGGACACAGTGGGACTCAACAGCCCTCCAGCAACAAGGAAATTGCAAATCAAGCCTGGGGAGGAAATGATGCAACTGTCAGGGCAAACCACATGCAGCTGTGTGAGGGCTGGTTGCTTCCCTCCCCAGAAGGGTGGGTTATCACAGGCGTCCCAACAGCAAAGCCAGACTCTGCTTTTTGCTGATTTTCTCAAACCACAAAATGGCCCCTTCCAGACTGGTACAGGAGGGAAACCCACCCTACGGCCCCCAGCCCCTGACAGGCTTCGCCAGGAACACGCTCCTCGGGCAGGCTCTGCGGGATGGAGCCTGGGCTGCTGTGGGAACAGGCTGCTGGGGCACCGGGTACAGCAGTGGGAACAGATGGTTTGTGCAGAGAGAACACACTGAGGCTCTGTGGGTGTGCTGAGCTGTGCAGTAACCCCAGCATGGCCTGGGAAAGGCAGAGGTGCTGCTCAGCAGAGGCTGTGGTGCTGTCCCTGTCAGCCCTGCTAGTCTGCACGGAGAGGGAGGCAGGGATCCCCCAGAGTGTGCAGAGCTGGGGCAGCCTCCACAGGCCAGGATGCCTGGCCTGGAGCCTGGCAGTGAATGGGGCTTCTGCACCCATGGCTCAGTGGCACTAAGTCCCCAACCCACCACACCACTGGCGGCTGCCAGACAGCTGCTTTCCCTGATGAGCTGCCATGGTGGGAGCTGTCCAGAGCTTCCAGAAACCTGCTCCATGCCTCAAACTCTGCCAGTCCCAGTGGATGCCCTGGATGGGATGGCAAAGTTCAGTGGGATGGCCTGTAACCAGGCAGGGATGTGCCCATGGGCACAAACAGACCCACAAACAGACATGGGCACGGATGTGCACACATGTATGGAGGACACGAACACAAATAGAGGCACAAGGGGCTATTGCAGTGCCCAGCCAGGGGGTGACATCACAGGCCCATTGCCCTCTAGCCTTGAGTAGCGGCACCCAAAACTGGTGAAGGAGCACACGCTCAGGGCTCAGCAGGGACGCATGTGCTGCCCTGGCCAAAAGATACTCATGAGGTGGGTGGTGAAATCAGCATGGCTCACTGGGGCTCCAGCCTCACTAGGAGGGCTAGCAGCACCCAGGCACCTGGGGGCTGGAGCCTGAGGCTCTGGCAGGGCAGCGCAGCCTGGGACACTGGGGCAGTGAGTGCCTGTCCTGGGGCCATAGCAGGAGCCAAAACTCCTTTTACTGTAGGGACAGCCATGGGAGAAGGCTCACAGCCCCAGCACAGGGGCCAAGCAGAGCTGATGGTGTGGGTACCGCACCACTGACTGTGCAGTGGCCCTGCACTACTTGCCAATGAACAGCAAGAGATGCCAAAACCAAGCACAGTCCATCTGTCTTAAATTAGGTGGTTTTTTTTTTGATAGTTATGTCAAGTCTGATTTAGACCAGACCAAAATCTGGAAAATCATCTTTTCTCATGGATGCAGCCCAGCTTCTGGTCAGGTTTCCTCTGCAGGCCATTGCTGGCACCTCCAGGAAGCATCATTTCAAAGGCCTTTACTGTATCCTCTGCTCTGGAACTCGGTGACACAATCCCTGCCTGCACATGGCCTGAAAGGCAGGACCATGGCAAGCTGCTGTCCTGCCCCCCAGGTACCAGCAGCACTGGCTGGAGCTGGTTTGAAGCACTGCTTCACAGTTCCTGTCTCACAGTGAGGACTAGCGGCTCCAACTAGCAGGTTTTGGGCAGGGATGTCACCCAGCACAGCTGGGACCAAACACTGTTGTGCACTGGCACCAGCCTGGCACCCAGCCCAGTGACATGTAGGGTCCTGCCAAGGGGCCCATGATCACAGGTCCTTAGCAGAAGATGCAGCAAGACAAACAGAAAAAAAGCACTTTAAAACATTTAATTTAATAGATTTAAAAATTCACTTTAAAATTATGGAAAAGCAGATGAGGTTGGACACAAGTATAGCTACACTGAGGACATCTCACAGACACTTGAGCAAGATATTTATATCAAACAGGCATGGTCAGGGCAATACCAGTTTGCTAGCAGTTGAGTACCAAAACAGGTTTCAGTAAGCCTTCCTGCAGAGCTCCAGCATGGAAAGCAACTTTCATGGCTGGAGGGCTGTGCTGGTGTCACTGCCCCTCTGCAGGACTGGAGGAGGGCAGAGACCAGCCCTGGGCCACCAACAGTCCCATCGAGCCTGGGGATTTTCCTGTGAGGGGAAGAGGCAGCACATGACCCAGCTCCGCAGTCCTGACTCTGTGTTTTGACAGTGGGTAGGGTCAGAGACACATATACCAAACTAAGGAATAGTGGAATCCCTATCCTGTAATTTCCATACTGTTTTAAGTCCTCAGTTTCCTGTAACTGGACCCCCAGTTACCTGTCCACAGAGTTCCCAGTCATTCTCCTACATAATACACCCTGTGACTATAGTCACTCAAGCTCTACAACATCCAAATTGCTTGAGAACATTTCATGCTTTGGTACCATATGGATTGTCTACTATCAGTGGAGGTAGTTGGTAAGCCAATTGTTTCATAATCATCCAAACCTTAACACACTGTGCAATTATCAGAACAAAAAGCAAAAGGATTAGCATCAATAAAAAAACACCAGGGTGAAGCACTCAGTTGAGAATTCTGGTAGCCGTAGGCATCCATCCAAAAAGAATGTCCCACCATCCGTGTTCTCAATCTTTCTTCACCTGCTCCATCACATTGTCACAGCATATGTCACAGCTGAGACAGCCACAATACACAGAGCATCATCACACAATTTCAGAAAGCTTCAACCCATACAGAGTAACACAGACCACTTCAGAAGGCTTCAGGTGTCCATACAGAGTAACACCAGAACACTTCAGAAGGCTGCAAACATCTGCCCTTCTTGTTCTTCAGCCCAGCTTCCATTCCCTCCTGTTCCTGCATTGCACTGTGTGCCCCCTGCTCCCTTTGGGGGTTGCTCAGTGCCCCTGGGCACTCCATGGCTCAGTGCTGTCAGTGCTGCTCCCCTGCTTTTCACAGCTGGACCCACTGGTGACCACAAATTGTGTGCCTACATCACATGATGGATTTCTGCCATGCCATGATGGACAGCTATCAAAGCCTTTTATCCATTCTCCTGGGCTTGTTTCAGCAAGCCTCAGGCCTATGTGTTGGAACTGTACCTTTATTTATTTACCAGATCATACCACTGGGAGTAACTGCAAGTCTTGAATCAGAGTATAGCTAGATTCCAAAAATTGACAGGATATAACAGGAGGTAAAAAACTAAAAATCTTCAATTAAAAAATAGAAATAAAAAATAAATAACTAAAATTGTGTCATTACAATAAAGTTACAGGTACAAATATTGGAGTGACTACTTGTATCTTCAGTACCGTTATCAAAAAATACAATACACAAGAGATTCTCATGCATCTAGCTGTACACAATCTCACAAAATGTACTGCTGACTTTCAGCTCTTGGCCATTCATTTTCTGCAGGGTATTTAGTATTACATCCAAAGCAGCCAAAGCTAACAAATTAGTATTGTGAATGTTATTCCAAAATGCATCCTGCACAGAAGAATCCAAATTCAAACTAAAAACTTCTTAAGAGTTTGAGATAACCCTGAGTCTAGGATTATCCCTGATACTCCCTGATCATGCAAGCACACCATCCAAGAGAAAAGAGGTTCCTCTGTTTTTAACTAAACTGTCCAAATATTTAATTTACTTAATGCTGAGTATAATCTTCTATGAGTATCCCTCCTGACCATTAGGATCTAATTCCACCTTTCATCTCCATGCTGGTCTCACATCTACAGATTCATCTCAGGAACCAATCTCATCAGAATCCACAGAATCCCAAATATCTCCATTCCATTTATCAGGATCCCACTGCACACCTGCCTCTGCAATCACTGCATGCATTTTCTTGAGATTGACTTGTCCCCTCCTTTCCTTATGAGCTACTCTAACTGCAGGCTTCTCAGCAAATCTGGTAAATCCAACTTATCAGCAAGCAGCTTATTTTGGCATTTTAGCATTACAATTAGATTCTGCAACTCACATCTGTTGATCTGTGTTAGAACATTTCAATAACTGTTCCTTTTGTTGGTGTTTTGTTTGATATACTGTTAACAAATTCCATCCTTGCCTTTCCAAACCCACAAGTTCTTTTCTTTTTTCAGTGTGTAATTTTTAGATGCATTTCAATATATCCAGCAGTTCAACTTCTTTTAACTGACTTCCCCATTGCTCACATGGTCCTCCAACCATAGGTCACTTGAGGACCAGAGAACTGTATGGAAGGTCTTCCCATCTGGGAATTTCAGACAGGACTGATTACTTTCATTTAGGTTTTAAAAGCAAATTGTTCTGACCCTGCTGACTATACTAATTTTGTTTTGCTGGTGAGTAGGGTCAGAGACACAGACATCAACTGAAGGAACAGCGGCATTTACTATGATGGAAAACTGCAAAGAATCACAAAAGGATAAGCTAAGCAAAGTACCTAACCACGAGCAAAGAATTATAAAGGGACAAGCTAAGCAATGCTAATCATTGCTAGGAAAGAATGCCTACAGTGATTAAGAAAGATACATTACCAGTTACCCCAGGGTTGATACATCATCCAAACCCAAGAGACATCAGCTCTGGGGAGAAGCTGTCACAGCCAAGGACAGGAGAACCATGCCAGGAACTGGACCTCCTCCTGCAGTGCCTCCTGCTTTGCAGGCCACGAGGCACCCCCACTTTGATGTCACAGTGGTCCGGTTTTTACACTGCTAAACAAACCAACTGACATAATTTCTAGTTTCACTTTCCTGTCAGCTTTCTCCCAAAGCCTGGCCAGGGCTCTAGGAGGATCCAAGGGAGTTGTCTTTGATCCTATACCTAATTAGTCCAGATGTGGCCTTATCCAGTTTCTAGATACAGAAAGGTGAACACGTTTTGCCAGTAAGTAAGTACATATAACAATACTTGGTTAATGAGTGGAAACATACAACATTTGGTTGGAATGTTCATCCTAGGTCAGCTTTAGCTCAGGGCCTGCTGTTCAGACCTTAGTATTTCACTCTGGGACTCAGTTGCTGCAGGAGAGGGGATGGATGATCTTGTCCCAAAGTGACAAAGAGGTCCATGAAGGACAGGTCCCCAGGCTCTCAGACTGCAGCAGCCCCGGGGCTGAGGTCCAGTCCAGGATGGTGCAGAGGTTTTTCTACTGTGGCACAGGCTTTTTCTGCATTTTTCCCTTCCACGCTGTTCCAAATCCCATAGGTGAAGTAAATAACAAAACCTGCAGGACATTTTCCATAATGAAATGTGCAATGGTGGCTTATCCGCACAAACAGATCCCCAGGAGAGACCTGTGGGCACTGCACTCCCCACCACATGACACCTACCCACAACCATGCAGATGGCAAACCGCGCCCAGGTGCCCGCACTCAGCTGTACCATCAGCAGGATGTTAACGAAGGCGCTGAAGATTGGCAGGAGGGGGAGGAAAGGTACCTGCAAGGGACAAGAAGTGCTGTGTCAGCTTGAGGTGACAAGAAGTGCTGTGTCACCTGGAGCTTGCTGATGCCTTGAGGGACCAGGCTGAGCTCGAGGATGCAACTGGCCAATGGAAGGACCCCTTCCCTGCCACAGCCCAGAGCACCCAGTCACTCAGATCCTCAGGGAGTCCAGGGGTGTGCAGACACCTAGATGCAGGGGGATTTACTCACTTTGAAGTTTAATCGTGCATTGCTCTGAGGCTGCCTCCAAATGATGATGATGAAAATGAGCAGAGCCACGAGGAGCAGAACCAGAGCCACAACACAGTCCACACTGGCATCCCTCAGCGCAACCACATTGAGGGTCAGGACCACACAGATGACTGTGATCAGTACGGCTGCAAGAGAGGAGGTAGTTGTGGGGCTGCATGGCACATGGTCTCCCTGGGGCCCTGAGCCTCACCAACAGCTGTGCAGAAGCACCCACTCCTCTTGGTCAGATCCAGCATGCACTGTCTCTAACACCCACCCCAAAGCCTTAGGAAAGTGCTTTGCTGGAGACACTTTCCAGACCAGCAAGCTGCAGGGAGCCTGAATTTGGCTGGGCTTGGACCCAGCTCTGACACTTACCCAGACCTGGCTGAGCCACCCCATTCTGGCTGTACAATGGAGCCATTGATAGATGGATCAAAACTCACTGGCTGAGCCCAAGCACTCTCAAGGGGCTGGGGACTGCCCTAGCTGGTGGCCAGTGTGGGTCAGGCTCACCACAGGGATCTCCCGTGATCACCTGCACATCCCCAGCTTAGCACTCATGCCCTCCAACAATGCCTGTGCACCCCAAACCACAGCTGTACCCTGCACTTGGCATCCTGCTTAGGGATCAGCACCTGCTGGCACTGCCGACAGCGACTGGCAACCTGGCCCCTCTCCTCTGCCTGGCATGCTCTCCGTCCCTTCCCAGCTCTACAGAGACACACCAAAACACCTCAGCCTGTGGCAGGAGGGGACACCAGCCACCAGTTCCCGCTCACTCACCAATGACCACAACACAGACATAGACAATGCGCCCTGAGAGCACAGTCGGGGTGTCCCCAGGCGGGTTGAAGAGCATCGCCAGGGACAACGTCTCTTTGTGCTGGACACTGGCAGCAGCGATGGCTGGGTTCATGATCACTCTCTCCTCCTCATTCCCATTCAGCTCCAGCATTTCCATGGCCTTCGGGGAGTTCGGTTGCCTGGGCTGGTACCTGAGCAGGTAAGACAAGCTTGCAGCAGAGTCCACACAACTTCCTAGCCCAAGGGAACAGTGGGCAGCACCTTCACATCCCTGCTGCTCCAGCAGTGGCTCCGCAACAGCCACTCCAAGGATATGCCCAGAGACACATACAGGCTCTAGTCAGCAGCCTCCATCTTGGGGGCTTGACACTTCCCCAGGATGCATGCCCCTGGAAAAAAGCTGTGGCTACAAGCCCCCAGGACGATGTAAGGAACATCCACCCTGGGCACCGCCAAAAATGAGGAGTCACGCACCGGAGGATGAGCACGCACACGGCCACCAGGGAGTAGGCCAGCAGCGTGCCAATCGACATGAGGTCCACCAGGTCCTTCAGGTCAAGCAGGAGGGCAAACACCGCTGCAATGAGGACATGCAGCATGAGCACAGCTCCAGACGACCACAGGGCTGGGTGTGAGGAGGTGGCCAGGAGCCTTACCCGCGAAGAACCCCGAGACAAAGGTGGCAATCAGAGGGGTCTTTCTGCCACTGTGGATCCGGGAGAGGAACTTGAAGAGCAGCCCATCCTCTGCCATGGCATGGATCACTCGGGGCATGGGAAACATGGAGCCCAGCAAGCTGTCATGGAGAGAGATTAGGCAAGCTGCCCACATCTACCACCCACAAGGGGAAGGGACCAGCTCTATGCCCAGAGCAGGACAGCAACTGGACAGAGCAAATCCCCAGCCCCGCCAGATTAATGCTGTCCCTGTGCTGTACCCCAAGCAGTGGCAGGAATAGAGCCATCCTACCTGGTGGAGAGGGCACAGAGTGAGCCAACAGCAACGGCGTAGCGGGCGGGCTCCCAACCAACCGCCTTGAAAGCCTCAGGCAGAGGGCTGTTCTTGTTCAGTAGGAAGTAGGGCACCATGAGAGTCAGGGATGCAGAAACCCCAAAATAAGCCACAAAGCAGATGAGGAGGGACACGATGATGCCAATGGGAATCGAGCGCTGTGGGTTCCTGGCTTCCTCCCCTGTCCAGACACAAGAGGCCACATGTGCCCCACTTCACTGCACAGCACGGGGCAAGTACTCCCAGGGTATAAGCCAGAGTAGGGACTTTCCATGGCAGCACAGGACTGGGAAGCAGCAAGCAGGGGCTGTTGGACAGGAGAGGCTCTGGCCATGCTGCTGCTACACTGGCAGAAAGGATGGAGCTGCCTGGAGGCTTGGGCTTGCAGACCCCCTGGCCATGCCAGGCCTTCCCCCACACCAGCAACTCCCTCTCCCTACAGAGCCTATTGAATGGAAGTCATCCTTGAATGTGTGCCTCGGCTTTGCAAAGGTGTGCTGCACCAGGCTCCCAGCAAGGAGCTCAGCAGCAGGAAAGGAGGAGGCTGCTGGGCAGCCCCTAGAGGCAGGGTGGCACAGGCAAGGTCAGGCAGAACAGCCTGTACCAGCCACCCACTAAGTAGATTTCTGGGGTAATGAGAGGAAATTAAGAGAGCTGCTGTGCTCCAGGAAGCAGCAGCTTTGCGTAAACCTAGTCATTTGGAAAAAGGCTGCTTGAGGCTGGGAAATAACTAGGAGGCACCAGCAATTCCCAGCACTGTTGCAGGCTCGGCTCAGCAGTCAAAAGGCTCCCTGCTGCTCTGGGAGCTGGCTGCGCAGGCAGGGTGCAGTTCTGCTCCCACCATGTGGTGTAATGAGCCGCTTTTCCCGGGGCAGGGCAGGGTCTGGGTCCCTTTGTCTGGTCCAGCTGAAGACACAGACTCCACAGGGAAATCTACCAGGAAGGGTCAGACCAGCTGTTTTCCCACACCACGTAGCATCCTCCCCATCAGCTCCTAGCCAGATGCTGGCTGTGCAGGGGCAATGCCCATGCCACCCTCACCCAAGGCAGTACCTGTTGTGGCAATGCAGTCAAAGCCCACGAAGGCATAGAAGCAGGTGGCAGCGCCGGTCAGCATCCCTTCCACTCCGAAGGGGAAAAACCCACCAGAGCCAAAAGCTTTTTTCCTGGGAGAAATGCAGGAGAGCAGCTGCTGTGAGGAGCAGGGACAGCAGGGCCTATGCCTGCCCTGTGCCAGATCATGGCCTGTCACAGTTGCTCTACTTACATGTTATCCAGTGGGTCTGGCAGCGAGCAGTTGACACAGTTCTCCTCTGAAAGCTGCCAGTTCTTGATGTCTCCCTTGATGAAGCCAGCAATGATGACAAAGCTCAGCACCAACAGGTTCACTGCCGTGAAGATTTTGTTCACAAGGGCAGATTCGCTGACACCAAAAGCCAGCAGTACTGTGGGGACAGAAGAGGTGAGTGAGGATCCATCAGGCCCCCATGCCATCAGCCATGGGACCATGGAGCCACTCTCATGCACACCCACCAGTAAGCAGCAAAATCAGAATCAACGCAAAGAAGTCTGGATGCTCAGCCAGCACTCCTGGCAGGTGCATTGGGATCTTGCTGGTAAAGAAGGTGGAGATGTGGTTGCCAATGATGTTGTCAAATGTTGCACTCCAGGCTCGAGCCACACTGGCTGTACCTGGTTGATGGCAAATCCATGCATTAGTCTGATCCCAGGGCAGATGGGCACCAGCCACCTGCACCTGAGCACCCACCTCCCTGCTGATCCCACCCCACACCCTGCCCCCACAGCTGCCAGCAGAAGGCTAACCCCAGAAGCCCACCATGCTGCCAGCACGAGGCTGGAAGGAGCCCCACACATGCTGCCTGGCCTCGTACCTATCACATAGGAGAGAATGAGGTTCCACCCGGCTATAAAAGCCCAGATCTCACCAACAGTAACGTAGATGTAGAGGTACGCAGAGCCGGCCTTGGGGACACGGGCCCCAAACTCTGCATAACAGAGTCCAGCCAGTACAGATGAGAAAGCAGCCACCAGGAAGCAGAGGACAATGGAGGGACCAGCCGTCTCCTTGGCTACCTCCCCGGCCAGCACATATACACCAGCCCCTAGCGTGCTGCCCACACCCAGGGATACAAGGTCCAGGGTGGAGAGGCAACGAGCAAAATGTGTGTCATCAGAGCTCAGGTCCACTATGCGCCGGCGGATCAGCTTCTTCCCAAAACTGGTCATTTTTTCCCCCAGCATCTCGTCTTCTCCTCAGTGAAGCTCAGCTGGTCAAAAGCCCTGCAAGAAAAGGGAAATGTGAAGCTCGGTGCCCTTCAGGCAGCAGGACTTGGTACTACGGCAGGGTAGGCAATGACGGCGACAGGAGCCTGCTCCCAGCTCGCTCATCGGCACCATGCCCCTGCCACAACTGGCTGGCCAGACACCATGGTGATGGCACCCTCCAAGGCACAGCGGGGCTACACATACCCTGCCTGCACAGCCCCTGCACCATGCCAGTGAGTCAGGGATGAACCCAGTCAGTCCATGGTGGGAAATGCTCTTTGCTCAAGCCCTGTGTGGTCTCAACCATAGAGCTTATAGGCACATTCCAAAGCTTGCCCGCTGTTTCCCAGGCTTGACAGTATGGAGATCCTTCAGTCCAAACTTGACTGCTGGCACATTTCTCCAGCCTGGCACATAGGTGTGCGCAGCAGTAATGCTGTGGAGACGAAGAATTCCTCCACCACAGGATTTAGCAGGCTGGGCTGACTCACGATGCAGCCATTCCTTTGCTGCTTTTGGCATCTGCACCACAATCTCTATAGGGATATACTACACAGCATGGGTTTCTGGTGCAAACCCTTTGTCTGCTAAGCAGTCTGCCAGCTCTACAGGCTGACTGTGTGCCATCCCCACTCCTCTTTCTCACAGCAGCCACCTATCCCCAAAAACTCTGAAGATGAGCAACCTGTGAAGCAGGCATCCAGCACAGAGGAAGGAAAGTGGTTCCCAATGCCCATGCCCACAGCTGGCACCTTTGCCTGCTGAACTGCCCACCCATCAATGTATTCTCCCTGCTGGCTTCTACCTTCATCGGGAAAGTGAGAGAACTCTATACAGGTGCCCAGGACTGCATGCCACACTACACGTATCAGCCTAAACACACTGGGATAACTTTGTGACCATTTCCATAGAGGATTATCAGGATCTCAGTGACAGCCACCAACTCGGCTGTTTCCCCATAACCAGCAAACCATCCTGCTTCTTGATAAACCTCCTCCCGTGGTGGCATGTCTCAGAGTCAGCCTTGACCCCAAGTGCAACAAGTGCCCCAGCACTAGCACCCTCCTCAACCACTACCTGGACAACTCTAGCTGCCTTCCCCAATTGTTCCAAGTATCTCCAGTACCCGACTCGATATCCGCATGAGTCAGGCGGCAGCCGGAACGTCCCGCTGCATCCCGCGGTGCCTACCGCAACCCGGTATCCATCGGATCCCGCCGCGACTCGGCGTAGGTGTCGGAAGCTGTTAGCTCGGGACCACAGCCTTAGAGCCCGCGGGGGCATCTCCGGTCCGAGGAGTGCCAGTCAGGCTCCGTCCCACCGCGGAGCCCGGCGATGCCGTGGGTACGGCAGAATCCCGGCGCGGCCCCGCGGGAGGACCGGCCACGTGCGGGCTGGCGGCAGCTGATGCAACAGCGGCACCGGTTGCGCCAAGCCCGTCCGGCCCGGCGGCAGCGCCCGCACCACTCACCAGCGGCTCGGCTCGGCTCGGCTCCCCCCGTGCGACCCCCTTTAGGTGAACTCAGCTCCGTTCCCCGCCGCGGCCGAGAGCAGAGAGAGGGGCGAGTTCCGCCCCCGACACACTAGTATGGGAGGGCGGGAACAGGCGTAGACAGCGTTGCCCCAAAGCCCCGGGAGGAGGCGGAGAGCAGGTAGAGCCGAGCGGGCATTGGAGCCCGCGTCCTGCCAGCTCCTCCCGCGCCCGGGTTCCCGCGCTGGCTTTTCGGAATATAAATTCCAGCCACAAATGGCAGCGGGGCGAGGCACGGCTCGGCCGGCGGGAGTGCGGCTGCTGCGGGCGGCAACTCCCAGCCCAGGACGAGGCACCTTGCTCCGTCGGAAAGGCCACGGAAGGGCGGCTGAGGGTCCCCCGAACCCAGATGTGCCATGCGAACAGAGCCTGCCCCGGCCTTGCCCCGCCGCGGCTGGGAGCGAGGCGAGGAGGCGAGGCCAGCCCGGCTCCAGCGGCTGCGAGCGGAGCTCAGCCCGCGGCTTGTGGGGCGACTCTACCCCGACCTCCGTATGCTCCGCTACAGCCCCCTCAGTTCTGGGAGCAGCAGGCAGCCCTAAGTGACGGGGAACGCCAGTCCTGGGAGAACTGCTCGGCAGCCAGGAGAGAGGAAGGGGCCAGCACCATCCCCCGCAGCACTCAGGCTGGGACCCGCCCGTCAACAGGCCGCGCCTGATGCAATCCAGGGCTCGCGTGTCGTGAGCTCCCAATTCAAAGCGGTAGCTCACACAGAGGTAAGCCAGCCCCTCGCTGCCATCACTGGCAATGCCCTGCTCCGGCGCCGCTATCGAGGCAAAACGCTTTTCAGTCGCTTGCAGAGCGGAGGGAAGCAGAGCAGGCAGGAGCGTTACGCAGCTGCCTCCCCCGCATTCTCCGGCGGGGCCAACGTCGGGAATATGCGGTGATGGAAAACACCAGCTCCTGTTTCTAACTGGCAGTGACGAAAGCTCTGCCCCCGCTTCTCAGAATCGAGGAACTGCAGTTCAGCAACCTCCCCTTTCCTCCCTGACCCCACGACGAAATAAGTTCAAGGGGCAGATGGCAGCATTTCTGGTACCACTCAGACACTTCCCGCTCCTTGCAGGGCTGCCAGCTGTAGGCAAGGATCCACCTGGACAGCACCATCACCAAGAATGTTCTCAGGTAGGAGAGGCAGCACCACGGGCACAGCAGGACTTCAAGCAGGGTCACCCTGTCCCAGACAAGCAGACACTGTGTACCCAGAATAGTGAGGCAGCACATGACATTATTTCCCTATTATGAGAAACCTTCTTGCAACATCAGGTGCTGGGAGGCAGTTTCCAGAAAGGAGCAGCATAAGGACACCAGAACATGTCTCCAGCTCCCAGACCTCACGTGCACCTCATGTGTCTTCCCATTGTCCCATCCTTACCTCCCAGTCTTACTGCTCCTCATTCCCATCATCCAGGGCCCTGATCCAGTAGCACAGGCCAACAGCTGGGAGCCACAGAGGCACGGAACAAGCCAAGTGCATGTCTCAACAGGAGCAGCAGAAAGGCAAATAGTGGCAAGGCACACATAGCATCAAAGGAGGGTAGGAGATGGCTCCAGCCCATAAAGGGGGCCTGAAGCCCTGCAGAAACAGATCCACATCAGTCCTTGGATGTCCCCACCACCTTCCACAACTGAAACATTAGAGTATTTCAGATTGGAAGGGACCCATAAGGACCATCGAGTCCAGCTTCACCCACGAGTGCCTCTCTGTTTACAAATAGCAGGGCATTTTTTCAAGTCAACTCCCTTAGTACCTGCATCAAGAATTTATCTTCGCCATGCATACACAGGGAACGCACAGCATGTTAGGGCTCTCTGCTGCAGATTGTGCCAGCACTGGAGCTGCCCCAGCAACCAAGTGGTCTCCCACACAGGGCTGGCAGACAACCAACACAGCTTCCCTGTGCAGCCACCCCTGTGCAGAGTCCATGGCAGTGACCCAGGAAGCAGTGTGGGCTACCTGGGAATGTGCATTCCAAGGCAGCCAGGAACACCACCCAGAAATAACAGGAGCAGCAACAGGCCAGCCTTCCCAGCCCAACCTCAGGGCACTGCCAGCACCAGGCTGTCCAGCGCCTCACCAAGACACAAGGCAGTGCAAGAAGGCGCCTGCATCAACCGACCTCAGAGAGAAGGCAGCAGAGCAGGGCTCCCAGCACCGGCCTGCAGGAACAGTGAGGGACTGGACTGAGTCCCAAGCGCTGCTTCCCACCACATTCCCCCCAGTTATAGTAAAAACATGGCCCCCTGGATCCAGGAAGAAATTATGATGTCTGGCTCCAGATCAGAAGGCTTTATTACAACTATACTATATTACATTAATATACTCTTTAAAGAGATACTGTATTATTCTACATACATACTTCTTGCATATTAACAAACTGGTGACTCTCTGCTGAGTGTCAGAGCCACAGCTGGATCCAACTGGTCATTGAACCCAAATAACCTTCACCAGAATCCAATCAAGCGATCACTTAATGTAAACAATCTCCATCCTACATTCCACATGGGGAAAACAAAGGAGCAGAGATAAAGATTGTTTTCTCTTTTTCTGTCTATGCTTCTCCAAGAAATCCTGAGAGACAGAATTAGGTCTCTCTGTCCAGAGAACGTGAATGTCACTTGCAGTCACGGATAATAAAACAGTAATAAATAGCCAAAGGCTGCAGAAGTCTAATGTGCCATCAGCCAACATTGGCTTTTCCCACATCCAGTGTGAAGGTGGTCTAAGGAAGAAACCTGCCCGTACACATGCCTACCACCACCACACATCCAAGCATTCCACCTGGAAGCACCAGTTTTGTCCAGAAATGCTTCCCCAGAGTCACACTGTACCTCCATCGACCAGCATCCAGCTCCTTCTTGTAACAGACCTCAAATCTCTGGCTGAGCAAAACCAGCCATAGCCAAGCACAGACCCGCCCTGTTCGGTCAGTGGGCAGCACTGGGCATTGCCTCTACCAAAGCAGACAGCAAGCACCACTGCAAAAGACACCTTTATTTTACATGCAAGGAGTTGAAAATGAATTCATTCCAGAGCTCCGCATTTATCAGTAGCCCAGAGGCTCACACATCTGGACAATGGCTGTTGTCTGTCCCCATGTCCCAGCTGTCAAGTCTCTCCCCAGGTCACCACCGTTGAACACTGCTGCATCTTTCAGATGGATTCCTGTATGAAAGCAGGAATCATTCCTGTCGGAAAGCAACAGCAACATCAAAGCAGTAATGCCTCTGGCACTCAGCACCTGACCCCTGGGAAAGGCCACGAGCTGTATCCTTCCCACCTCGCAACCCTCAAGGGATCACTGGAGCATCCCTGCAGCCTGCCCAGAAGCGAGGGCTCACCACAGTGACGGAACATACCTGCTGCTCTGAGCTGAGCCTCCAAGGAGGAGATTGTCTGCTGATAGGTTTTACACTGGGCAGTCTTCTCAGCTGCAGACAGGAGGCAAGAAGGTGTGTGCTCAGCCCATCCTAAATACTTCATGCCCAGACTCTCAAGGGCAGCAGCTGAGATCCTGCTCTATCTCCTAACCGTGAAGCCAGCTCCACTCCCATGGAGCTGCAGGTCCTGGGCTCCAGGTACAAGCAGGGGATGTCACCTGACTGCAGGTGTTCTGCAGTCCTCAGAATACGTACCAAGCTCACCCTTCACTTGTTCCAGCTCTTGCTTCACGCGCTCGAGCTCCTTGGACAGCTGATCACCTGCAGACTGGCAAGAGCAGGGGGCAAGTGTGATGCAGGGAGTTGTACCCCTACCACAAAGCAGCCAGAGCACAGCCCATCCCCTGGAGGGGCACTGCAACCCATCCAACACTCCAAGCCCAACACCCTGGGGACCACCGCCAGGGCACATCCATCACAGGAGTGGTGCCTGGCAAAGGAGCCGCTGTAGCGAGCATCTGCCAGCACCCGTAGGAAACAAGAATGCCTTTGGCTGGCTGCAGCCACAAAGTGAAGAGCCCTGGAACTGCTGGAAAATGCATAAACTTATTTTGTAGGTAGGGGATTTCCTAACTTGGAAATCTTGCAGGCTTTGCACACCCCATCCTGGGGCCATGTCCTACATGTCAGGACATATAAAAGTGACAACACAAGCCACAGGAAGTTTGCATGTTTCAAAAGGCCCTTAGAACATCTAACTGGACCAAAGGCTGAGCATGGAAAGGTGGTAAAGCCATACAAATAACATCCATGGTCTTGTGTAAACCCCAGAGAAAGGCTGAAACAGCTCAAGTGCCAGCCAGAAATTGGCAGATCCAGATCTCATCATCTCCTGTCTCTGGCATAGCAGGCCCACGCCAGAGACTGAACAGTGCTCCATGGTGACAGGACACAGCTGGCTCTTACCTGCTCAGCAGGGACTGTATCTTCACACCATGAAGTCAGGCCAGGGGCCAACTCACTGGACAAAGAGGACTTTGCACACACCCATGTCTGGTCATTTATATCTGTGAAGAGAGGTGCCAGCATTAGAAACCTGCCATCCTCAGTTGCTCTTCAACCTGGCCACAGAGCTGCTCCCAATCAGGGAAGGACAGAACCCATCCAAGAGAGTCAGAAGTCTCCCAGCACTTTCAGCCCAACAGCTGCTGCTGGCTTGGTCTGTATGGGTGCTGCTGGGAGAACATGTTCCTGCATGGCCTTGCTCCCAGCACCTCTGGACTCCTGCTAGGAGTCTGCTCTCACAGTGAGGTCAGGCAGCTGCCTGGGCAGGGTGGAACAGGCTGTCACAGCAGAATGGGGCGAGCCTCCTCGCCTACCCTCCCTCTACAGGGCTCAGGAAAGCAGGCTGCCCAGCTGCAGTTCCTGTGAAGGCAGCACCCCCTGCCTGCAGCACAGGCTGGAACACCCACAGCCAGGACCACACCTGGTCAGCCAGGGCTCATCTGGGGAGCAGCACTGCCCAATAAGCAGCTGCCCATGTTTCTCCACAGCCCTTACAACACAAGGCGGTAATCTATACCTCCATACTGTTCACCTGCTCCCAAGACAATGCTTGCTGCAACTAGCCGTTCATTGCTCTCACTATTTTCCTTCAGCTCTTGGTTCCTGTTGTACACCAGCTCCTGTGTAGTTGATCCTGAAGAGACCCAGAACGGGAAAAGAAAGAGCATCAGCTCCTGCTAAGAGAGTGCCCTGACTGACCACAGCCACTCCCTCTCCTGCGAACCAGCCTCGAGCACCAGATTTGTTCAGGTTCTTTGCTGGATGCCTCTCCAGGAAAAGAGAGAAAATAATTAACCTAGCCTCACTTGCTCTGCACTTCACCTCCCCTCCTCTGATGTCCCTGATTGAGAAGCAAGACGTTGTCTATTGCCATCTGTGTAGCAGTTGTCTTCTGTTAAATGGGCAGTTTTCCGTATCTCCTGTTAAAGGGCCCATCAATGTCTCACCACATGACTCGGAGATAACTCCCTCCAGGAGCCAGATCTGTTTAACAGGGGATCAAGGACACACCCATGACTCAGAATGACATCAGCCCATGCTGAGATGCTCTGCCCAGAGGGGAGGAGCTAAGCATTCCCACCTAGATATAGCCTGGGATTTTTAGACAGAGAAGCAGCCTTCCCATAGGTTTCCAAGAGGAACAGCTTGGGCTTTTTCACTAGACTGTCAGAGGAAGACTACACCCTTAAACAGGATCACATCTCCAACAGAACCACATCTGCCACTCCAGGAGGACTGCAGCCACTCCAATTTGGACTGCTACCAACATGCTGGCCATAGGGGTGTCAGGTAGTGTTCTGACTCTGTCAGTGGTTTTTCTTTTGTATTATTGCATGGATTTTGTTTCTTTTCCCTTTTCCTAAAAAACTGTATTTCTGACTTGGAGTCTCTCACTGGTTTTGCTTTCAAACCAGAACATCTGAGTCCAAGTATGTGCAGTCGCCCACCCCAGTCTTTCCCCAGGATCAGCTTTGACCCTGCAGCCAAGACCTGAACGTTCTTTCCACACCAGCAGCGTCCGTCACCCACGACTCTGCAGCCTCTGAGGCTTCTGGCAAGACTCACCTTTATTTAGGCAAAAACGCTTGGATGGAATCACTTTTTCTGAAGGCTGCAGTGAGGAGCGGGAAGCCATGATAGGGATTCCTGTAGAGAGCCTCGAGGAGGGTTGTTTATGACTCCCAACCTTGGCAGCAGCTGTAGTGAACAGTAAACACAGAGGCCGCTATTCCCAAGCAGCTCCATTGCACCTTCTTCAGGCAGCCCGGGGCTCGGCAGGCTGCCTACCCTAGATGCACAGGCACCAGTACACTGTGACCCCACACCACCACGAGAGAAAGGCTTCAAAGTCAACAGCCCACACAGCTCCTGCCAGCTCACACAAGCTGGAGGCCACAGAGTGTTAACATATCCCTTGGGGTATGAGAATATTTCCTAGGCTCCTACCTCTGCCACTCCACATGTCTTGTCCCCAGCCAGGCTGCAGCCCAAGCCCTTCCCCTTCTCCCTTCTAGATGCAGCACCCTGACCCACATGCTTCCCTGCTTTGCGTGACACAACTGGCAGGTGAGAATTACTTTTCATCTCTCTGTCCTGGGAGGCGAGTTTGGGATTTCCAGAAGGCTGTGCCTGCTTCAAGGCCCCGCTGGCAAATTGAAGCCTGGACCTGGCAGGCGATGTCGGCTTCAGCCTGGTCCCTGGGTATTGTACATGCAGGTTAACCTGGTGGGAAGAAATGGTGATGACTGACTCCAGTTCAGAAGGCTGAATGACTTCTTTATTACAACTGTACTCTAATACATTAATATACTATTTAAAGGAGATACTAAGACTACATACCTACTTTTTCTAACTACCGTATCTAACAACTCGTGACCCTCTCTCCAGAGTCCAGACACAGGTGGATTTGACTCGCCATCAGGCTCAAACAATCCTCACAAGAATCCAATCAAGCAATCACCCCAGGTAAACAATTCTCTAAACACACTCCACATGGGAAAACAAGAAGCAGAAATAGAAATTGTTTTCTCTTTCTTCTCTCTGTGCTCCTCTATGAAAAAATCCGGAGAGAGAGAAGAATGTGCCTGCCACACCAGGGGGAGAGAGAGGGTTCTGCAGCGCCGGGCGGGCGGTGTCCGTGCCGGGGCTCCCCACCGTGACCCCGCTTACCTGGGGGCCGGAGGAGCCGCGATTCCCGGGCACCGCGCCCTGTGCTGGCCGCGGGGAGCTGCAGCGCCAGCCAGGCCCGTGCGCGGGGCAGAGCGAGCCCGGCGCGGCCGCAGTGCGGGCAGCGGGCACGGGTGCCGGGGCCGCCGCCGGAGGCCCGTCCGGAGCCGCGCCGAACCTGCCGGGACACAGCGGGGCGGGCGCTGGGGCCGCCGCCGGCCGCGGGAGGCACCCGAGCTCCTCTGGGGCCGGGCCAGGGGCAGCAGCGACATCGCAGTCGCCCGCCCGCGACTCTGGGACCCGCCCGTGGCTCGGGAACGGCAGCGGCGTGCAGGTGCTGGGTCTGGCGGGCCCGGGCTGCAGCCCGCTGAGCACCCCCGGGCCCGGCGAGGGCTCCGCGGCCGCCCCGAGGCGCAGGCTGGCGGCGATGAGCGGGGTGGTCGGCGAGGTCAGGTGCTGGACATCCTGCAGCGGGTCAGGGCAGTCTGACGAGTCAGAGCCGGCCCGTGGCTTCGACATGGCGCCTCGGAACCGCCGGGGCGAAGCAGGGAGAACCGGAGAGCCCCGCCCGTGCCCGCTCTGTTCCGGCCGCTCCCCCGCCCCGCCCGTGTCCGTCCTCTCCGGGCGGTTCCCCCGCTCCGCTCCGCAGGTGCCTCTCTATCCCGGCAGCTCTGCCGCCCCCTCGCCGGTGCTCGCTCTCTCCCCGCTGTTTCCCCGTCCCGCTAGCCCCCAGGACCAGGCAGACAATTGGCTTCACAGTGGTTTAATGCGAACGGCACCGGGACGTTACACTGGACAGGGTGCAGACAGCTGGATGGATGGCAGCCCCGTGCAGGGCACGGGAAGGAGCCGCCCCGAGCGCGACTGGCGGCAGCAGGAAGCCGGGACCGAGCCCCTCCGAGGCCACGGCCACCGGCACCAGGCTCCGTGCTGCCGCACGGCCTTTCTGGACCGAGCCAGCCCCCGGAGCAGCTCCTTCGCGCTTTCAGCGACTTCCCCCCAGGAGCCACCTCTCGCCCAGCAGTACCAGGTCCTCACCAGAAAACAGAGGAGAGTAGGGAGGGCCTCGGGGACCGTGCCTGACAGGAACGGGAGGGCATCCACCGTAGGCCTGTGCTCCAAGAAAGGCTCAACTGTGCCACAACAAAGTGACCAAGCACTTATAAACCAGCCAGCCTTGACCTGAGGAGCCCCCAAGCTGAGGCCCAACCTCACTCATCACAGCTGTAGCAGCTGGGGGAGCCTCCAAAGGACACTTCTGCTGCAGCAGGTCACAGCCTCATTGTCCCCTGAAGCTCTGAACACTTTCCTGACCAGTCCTATGTTCTCACTTTCACACAAGTGACTGCCTAGCTCACTGCAGAACAGGGGAGAACACACAAAGAGCCACTGCCACTTCTCCTGCTTCATAAGCTATGTCTAACCTAGGACTGACTGCCCATTTTCTGCTGTCCCTTTCTGGAGAGGTGGCCTCACTCCGGGCCCCACTGTTGGACTCCTCCAGTGGCAGCCAGCACAGATGCATCCTACAACTGCTCCCACCAGCTCTCTCTTGCTCCTCCTCAGCCAGACAGTCTGCTCCTCTCAGCTGCTGGGGCCCAGGATAAGGTCACTGGGCTCAGCCGAGCAGGGTGCTGCAGGCAACACCAGCCCAGCAGCCCATAGTACAGCAGGCTGTGGTGTTTCTTAAACTCTGCACCAATGCATCACAGCACATGTGGCTACAGCCCAGACTATCCCATCTCCCATGTGCCAAATGGCCCACAAAGAGCATGACGAGAGCACATGGGATGGAAATCCCTCGAGCTGCCAGCAGCACCTTATAAAGGAGGGGGCACAAACACACCAAATAGGTCTGTAATGCAGGAGGCTGATAGCGGGGTTTGAGTAGGTGTTGGGTCTCAGCATTTCCAGACAGTGAAGAATGGGGGTTTCATGCAGGGTGAATGGGATGGATGACAGACTGACACAGCCAGGCACCTACTCATTGGTTTGGATAAACCTTACTAAAACTCTAATACCTGGTATAATCACTGACCAACATGACAACTGCTATTCTTCAAAGTCTCCTGCAGAGACGCTTGGGGCTGCACAGACAAGGGACTGAAGGTCATCTCATATCTTCCTGTACAGGGAGAGAGGCAGCTCCTACACCAGAATACCATTAGCAAATTCCTGCTCCACACCTATCCACATCTGCTGCTAGACGTGGTACAACACGCTCACTTGCATAATCTTCACATCTTTAGGCCACGACCACAGCCCAATAGAACAAACTGCTGCCAGTTACAAAAGAGGAAAATACTGAACAAACTGAGAGGTTCAAGAGAGGAAAAGCTGGTTCAGAGAAGACAGATTTAGTGTAAAAATAAATGTCATTTTTGCAGGAGGGAGGGTGGAATGGAGGAAGACAGTGCCAGGTGCTCCTACTGGCGCACTTTCCCTGGGACGTAATTCCTATCAATAGTCTCCTCTTGCAGGAACATATGTAAGCAGCGCTCGTTCTGTGCCAGTGGGTGTCCAGCAATTCTGGAAGAAAATCAGATGTGGAGGTTAGCACAGCTGCCTCCAAGACCCCCACACCTCTGATATGTGCAGGAGGAAGTCAAGTAGCCAACTCAGCACACCTGCACTGTGCTCAGCCCAAGGTCATGCATCACTTTGCAACAGGACCAGTAAGAGGTGCCTGGACACAGGCTGTTCCCTTCCAGGCCGTGCCCTGAACAAATAGTACCATGTTGGTGGGTCTCTGTAGCAGAGCTGTTCTGCTAATACTCACTACACTCTCAGGAGAGAGCACAAAGCACAACGCCCACTTAGGGCAGGACTTGTTCCAGTTTCATTACATGGCTGCAGGCACCACCCTCGAGCACTGGCACCTGCCAGAAGCAAGTCAAGACTAAAGACTCTCTCACAGTCAACCCACACAGCCTAGCAAAAGCTAAAAAGGCAGCACATAGCAAAGCCAGGACATCAAACTTACTTGTTAATAAACTGTTCTAGGCCCTGTCTCCGCTCCTCAATGAAAGACTCCTCAAAGATGCCTTCATCTCCTCGGAAGGGAAGCTGTCGTTTCAAAGCTTTTCCAGGCAGTGGTGGCACTACAATCTGAAAGGACAGAATCATCATGAGCAGAACAGCTACCTGCAAGCAGCTACCTTTGCTGTTTGATGCTCATCTCCAGTGCCATCACTTGGATAGAGCAGAGAAGGTGCCCACTGTCAGAGACTGGCTAAGTTTCATGTCTCTCAACATTCTGGGATGCTTGGCAAATGCCTGTTCGTATGTTTGGTGGGAGGGGCAGATCAGGTCTTGTGAAAGCAAAACAGTGAAATGCTCCACCCCCAGCCCAGAGCCAGTATCTCAGGCAGGGCAGAGCTGTTCATCAATCACACACTGTGGGCGGTGCTAACCCAGCCCCTGAGTGACCAGAAGCTGCACCTGGGGAGGAGGCCACTAAGGCCCTGGGGCTTAAAAGCCCCCACGAGGGAGTTGTCTGGCCCCTGCATCCTCCTGGATTTTCCACCTCACCCATGCTGGAACCCTAGGAGTGGATAGCTATGTGTGTTTTTATATATCTTTTCTGTCTTTTTCTCTCTTCTAATTCTCTTTTCATGCAACTTTTTTGGAACATAGCACCTTAAGGTTTTAAAGGTTTCAAAGCTAAGTAGGATAAGTTTACGCTAAGTTAATAGTAAATTAATGCTAAGTAATGTTATAATAAGTGTTTTCTAAGTGTATTTACTCCTTTGCCAAAATTCTTTAATTTTCTATATTTTTTCCAGTAACCTTTTGTGCATTTGTGACCTCTTGAGAATATCTGGTTGGGATTTCTCCTTGCACCAAACTAAAGTAACCTCAGTTTAAACCCTGGATTTAAGTGCCTGGGGTGCAAAATCCACCACCACAGCCTCACTTCTGGGAATCTCAAATATTATTGCTGCAACTGTTCCCACATCCCGGCTTAAGGAATAGGGAGGTCTGAGCCAGGCCTCACCTTACTGTCTCTTTCCAGCTCATTCTTCAGCCACTCAAAGTCGCTGTATCGTCTCCTCACACATGACTCCTTCAATTTGAAGATGGGGAGGTTTGTCTGTAATGAAGCAAAGCAGTTTATCTGCAGGTTGCTCTGGAAGCCACACATGTAACTGAAACCTGAAGCTGCAGTGAGAAAATCAAACCTCCTGAGGACACATGATGGGAACACTCAACTTCCTTATTCAGGACAGCACAAACACCAAAATCCTTCAGATCCATGCAAGCCAGCCTACTCAGTGCCAGCCATTCCCTCCCCCTTGAGTGACCATTTCTGGAATATGCCCCCTTCTCAGGGGCATACACTGGAACCAGTACTGAGAATATGATTGTCAGGAGAATGATTCCACCCCCCCCAACCCAAGTTTACTCCATTTTGAAGTTTCGCAGCAGCCTCCAGAGCAAAAGAATATCTGACCTGACACTGGCATCTCCATGGAAGAACTAACTGAGGAAATCTTGCCCTAGCAACTGTTCAAGGCCAGACCTTATCTACAGTCTTCTCACAAAACAGAGCACCTACCCTAATGCATGCCCATCTTGTGTCACTGGAGAATGGTGCAGCAATTCCTCACATTTTTCCCCTGACACTGGAGTACAACAAATGACAACTGCATTAACTTTACTTTTACCTCATCAACACAGCCTGAATAATTTCAGGAACTGAGGTAGCAAAACCTTCTGATAGACAGTACTCAGATATTACTGCAACACAATTAAGTGTGTTCTTATGAGGTCTGTGAAATAAACCCAGCTGCTTTCAGAGCATCTTTACAGGTTTCAGTGGGACTAAGAGGTTCCCATTGCCACCTACAGGCTGATGGGAGTCAAGCACCAGGAGAAAAAAGCAAACACCAATTATTCTGAAAGGCAGAGGAATCTAAGCAGTTAAATCACGCTATAAGCAAAAGTCAAACCAGCACCACAACACATGCTAAAGGGACCTTGTTTTAGGGGAAGCTCAGTTTTACTTCTCCCATCTGCCAGACACAGAGCTGTGAAGGGGTCCCCAGTTCAGCTCGTTTAAGGCCCAATGAAGAGAATTCTGCTCAGCCTGCTATGCACGCTCCTAGCTCATGGGCTCTTGGTAAAGCAGCCAGCATGCAGTGTGAGCAGGTCCCAAGTTACTGCCCCCCAGCTCTCTGCCTGAGATAAGCAGCTACGTGCAGCCATCCCTGCTCAGTAACTGCCTAGCGGGGCCCTACAGAGGGAACGGACGCAGGAGCCTGCGGAGGCAGCAGCTCCCTGTCCATGTGCGCACCAGCCCCGCTGGATGCCGAGCGAACCCATCAGCTCTGACCTTGAGTCTCGCAGGCGCGCTGCTCGCACCAGCCCGGCGCTGCCCGGGCTTCTCGGCCTCCGCCCCCCGCTGCTCAACAGCGGCACCGCTCCGGCCCTACCCGGCCGCCGTCCCTCGGCCCCCGCGTCCCCAGCGCTGCCGCCCCTCCCCGGGCCGCACACCCGCACACCGGGCAGCCCAGCCCCGCAGGCCCGACGGGGGCCGCACCCGCATGCGGAGCTCGTAGCTGGTGTATCTGGCGCGGCCCATGCCCACGGTTTGTGGGTTGAAGATGTC